GACAGACAGCCCTGCCAGAGTCCGGAGGACGGTTGCGGCGCGGGCCTGGGATCCCAGGCGTCACGCCTTCTGCCTGACCCATTCCTAGTCCATCTGTCGGATCCCGAGCCACCTACCCTGACCTGAGCCCGCGCGCGGCTGGCGAGCCGGACTGAGAGGTGGGTGTGCGGACCTCCGGGTCCCGGAGTGGAACCGGGATCTCTGGGCGTGGGTTCTGGGACTCTCAGACCTGGGAGCCCCCACCCGTCCGCGGGGCTTCTAAACCCTGAGATAAGGTTCGGAGGCCAGGAGGCTCCACCACCTCCACTGGGCGGGTCGGGGGAGGGGGGGAGTAGGGGGTGCAGACACTCCGGGGAAGTTCCCCCATTCCTCCGAGGTCCCCCACAATCACCAGGAACCCAAAAGTGTGCGACAGAGAGTGTGGGCCAGCAGCGGGAATACCTGAGGAAAAGGACTTCCTACAGCCCCCTGGAAGCCCTAGATTACGGATTAGGGACCCCTGCCCTCAGAAGTCATGGAGGGGGGATGGGGGAGACTCAGAGTGTCCACAGGACCTAAATGTGGTGATGGGTGACACTCTTGGGGGTGTGGGGTTTACCCCAACGTAGGTAGATAAGAAGCAAGGACTCCAACAGAGGGAGGGTGGCAGGCTGACATCTGTGCGAGCCGACAGGGAAGGGAAAAGCCAGCAGCAACTTGAACTGGCAGGGTCCAGCGAAACCAACAGTGTTGACTGGGACCCTGCCCACCACCCCCAGACCCATTCACCGGATTGGGTGACTCAACAAGTGACTGTTCTGGGGACCGGGAAGGGTTGAGTGAGGGATGAATCAACAAAATGGGGGAATCCTGGGGCCATTTCGGTCCCCATACATTAACTAAGCACCAGGCTGTGAACCCTCCGATGCCAGGAAAACATTGGGGCTGCAGGAGGGACGAACGAGCTGCACTGGGGGGCTGGGCCAGGATGTAGGGGGCCCCTTTGATGGGTAATGATAGGGCAGAAAGGGGCTGTCCTGAGTCCCCGGGGGCACTTTGGAAGGCGTCTTCAGAAGCCAGGGGTGGCTCAGATTTTCCCCCTACCCTCTGGGTCTTTGGGATCCTCCCCCCCCCCCGCCCCCCCGGAGCAAATCCAGGGTCCCCTCTAATCCTCAGTTTGTCTAAGTCCAGAGGTTGGCCGGGTCAGTTTCTTAAGACCCTTCCGGCCGGGGAATTGGATTATTAGTGTGTGAATTTAGCAAAAGGAGCTGGGTGCCTGGACCCCTTGCTTCAGGGCAGTTGGCATCAGGGGGAGGGCAGAGAGGGGAGGCGTGGAGAGGGGTGTTTACAGAGGGCTGTCCTCGGGAATTGAAAGACAGGGTGTTACCTTCAAGGCCTAAGTCACCGAAGGGAATGAGAGTGGCAGTAGCAGCGAGGACTTGGATATAGGCTCAGCCCACAGCCAGAGGCTGAGCTTTTGGGGGGTAGTGGAGCTGGGCAGGCCCTGGGGGTGGGTGGGTGGGGCAGGAAACTGTGGAGTCTGGCGAGCACCCCCTGGTGGTGATCACAGCTTGGGTGGGCCTTGCTGGGGCCCAGCTTCTCAATCCCGTACACACTACTCTAGGGCAGAGGGCAACTCCCAACCAGAAGCCACATCACAGGTAGCAAGGATAGAACAGCAATGAATGATCATGGGTAAGAGGGGAAACTGAGGCACTGGAAGAGGCCCCCGCAGGCCTGACTTATGTCTGTCCCCTGCAGAATTCCCTGAGCTGGTGTTAGGTGCTACGGGCACTGAGGATCTCACCAGGAGGGGACGCACGGAGCTAGGGGCCAGCAAGATGGCGGACGAGGCCTTAGCTGGGCTGGATGAGGGAGCCCTGCGGAAGCTGGTAAGTGACCCCATCGTCCCCAATGTGAGGCCAGAGAGGCAGGGCCTACTAGGCTACCTCTCGTCGGACAAGAGGAGGTGATGGGGAGCGGGGAGGAGGAGGAGGGTTCACGGGAACAGAGCTCGGCCTGTTCCACATGGTTGATGCAGAGGCCCTTGTGGCATATGCCTGTCCGTGCCAGGTGCTGAGGCCTGATCCCGCCCAGCCCCCCACGGCTACCACCTGTTTAAACAGTAACTTGCTCAGGACTCACCCATATGCAGCCACAAGTGTGGGGAGGCTAGATGGGGCTCTTCCCGGCAACAGCCGGGGCAGTGCCCATCCCTGGACGCTGGCCCCATGATAATAGCAGCAGATGTGATTAATAATGCCAGGGCACAGCAAGGGGGGCAGGCTGGGTGCTGGGCATACCATCTCCCAGAATGGACACAGCAACTCTGAGAGCAAAGAGGACTCTGCCTCAGAGAAGTGAAATCACCCGCCGAAAGGCACCCAGCTGGGAAGAGGGTGGGCCAGGATCCAAACAAACCTCCAAGGGGATCCTGGAGAACCCGGAGTCCTGAGCAAGTCAAGGCTGGAAGAGCCTTACGAGCTGTGACTTCTAGTGTCATTTCTCCACTCTGAGCCTCCGTTTCTTTACCTATAAAATGGGTGTGTGGACCTAATATCTAGGTCTGAGAGTTGGCACGGGGATGGAGTGAGGCATGGGTCCAGATCTTGAGGCGGAAGGGTGGGTCCAACCTATCCCCTATCCCCAGCTTATTCCCGAGTACCCTAACCCCTGCCCCCCATCCCACGACGCACAAAGAGGCCGTGGGGCATTACAACAGGCCAGGCATGTGCCCACCAGCAAGGGCAGAGAGCAGCTGAACTGGATGAAGGACCAGAGCCCCATCCCTCCAGCCCCTGACCCTTGTCCGGGGAAGAAATTAAAGATTTACCTTCCCTGGGAGAAGGCAGGTGACCCACCCCACTCCTTCTCCATCATTCCTCTGGAAGCAGGGGATGGAGCCGGCCAGCCCAACCCAGCCACTAGGCAGTGCCCAGCCGTTGCCAGGATCTACCACGGCCTGTGTGCCCTCAGACCTGCAAACACCTTAGACTCGCCAGGTGTTTGCCAGCGCCGCTGCCCACCACGCGCGCAGCCTGGAGGGGATGGGCTGGGTTTCCAAAGGTCAGTTCGACCTCCATTCAGGAAGTCGCAATGCTAATGGAGGTCGGCGAGGCCGAGCCTCCCAGAGAGAAATCCAGGTCCCCGCGCAGCTCCACCTCTAGGAGCTCCCTCCGGGGCTTGGGCTTCTCCAGCCGCCACCCGCTCCACCCGCGTGGGATTTGGGCGCCGGAAGAGTTTCAGGGAAGCCGCCGCGTGGCTGTAGCCGGCCCACCCCCATTCCCCTCCCCGG